GGGAGAATACGTGAATTAATGTAATTTAAATTAATTTTCCTCTTCATTTCAAGGGGTCCTTGTAGTAAAGTGCTGGTAGAGAAGATTGTAGAATGGTGATTGATGTTTTAGGGTAAGAATTTGATGGATTTAAGTGATTATTTTACCTGGAATACGCTTATGTTGGTAATCAGCATGTATTTTATTTGGACACAGCATCAACATATCAATTAACAGTAGGAGGATATACTCTTCCCTATCGTCTGAGCACGGCCCATGTTGCCTGCTATGGACTTTAACATAGGAGGAAATTAAATCTTGTGATTTTTCTAATGATGTTCCTAAAATAAGCCTTACTGATTAGAAATATAGAAAAGCTGGATTCATAAAAGTCTTTCTCAAAAAAAAAGAAGAAGAAGAAATCAATCACCAGGAAACATTCAGGGCAGTAATAAGAGACAAAGCTACCCCACAGGTGGCCATCTCGACAGCCTATTAAATGGATCCTATGAGAAAAGTACAGAAGGTACAGCAGGACCGTGAACCCCATTTTTCTGATAACAGACCCTTAGAAATTCTGAGATTCTGATAGACCCAGATGTGCAAACAAGCTGGGATTCAAAAGCAAGTTTGACTCAGGCTCTAATGTGAAAATATTTTCATTTTAGATAACTTGCCAATGACGAATAAAGTATTGTGGAACGGTAGCTAATCCTTAATTTCAGCCCTGTCTGCACCCGCTTTATAAAATATCACTTAAACTAAGAGAGAATTAGTTAAAAGCAACTCAGACTTCTAGGGTTTTTTTCCCCTTCCTCCTCTACTTCTCTTTACCTTCGTTCCTCTTCTTTGGTTTTCCAGGCCCTTGTTCACCTCAGAGAATAACTATGAATGTTAGCATTGATTAATATCTTCACCAGCAGTTTCCTGGTGTGAATCCCAGAGCACTCTCTAATCATTTACTCAGCTGTTTCTTTATGGAATGTTGGATGTCAGCAAATGACCCTCTGAAAGAAGTGCAGTGTTCTCTTTAAAAGGCAACGTTTAGTACCTGCATGAAGATGAATTCATGTAGGTAGACATCCATTTGTCTTTTTCTTTTTGGGAAGTGAATTTTCCACAAGAAACGAGAAATTTTATGACCCAATACTTTAAGAAAGAAGTTAAGATTATATGCTCTACTAATCTCAAACAACATCAGACTTCTGGTTTAACTGCAGCAGAATGCATTACTCTAGTCTTGAAATGCTTATCAACAGCAGTGATTTTCTTTTAGGCATGTTGAGTGTTTAAATGGGCATTAGGTGAAACCAAGGTTTAATGGATTTTTAAAATGGCTTGTTATTTTAAATAGGTTAGGTCTATTTCATCATGGGCTCTACTTTATCATGATTTCTAATGAGAAAAAAGAAAATGAAGATTTGTTCATCATTTTCCAGGTAGTAAATCCCGATAGTAGATAATTCCCAGCAGTAGATATTGTAAGTTGTATGTTAGCAACCTGAGCTTTAAGAGAAGAGTAAGTTTGCTTGTTTTCCAGCATCAGTGTTGGTCATTTTAGACATATTGAAAGTGCATTTTACTGGCTTGCTTATTTCTTATTTTAAAAATAATCTTAAATTAAAATTCAGTCCTTTATTTGTACCAACTTATTAGTAATTCCGTGTCCACCTGTTTTGTTCTTAGGTGGTTACAAGTCTTTCTCCTACCCCTACTGGATTGTACTCACCTTGAGATCTGGAACTGTAACTTAATTCATTTCCTTGTATATAAAAACTTGGCTCAGTGCTTATTTCATGGGTGTTCAATAAATAATTGTTGAGTGTGTTCTGCTTACTGCTACTCTGTTGTCATTTTTACTGGTACTGTTTTGGTAGTTGCTATATTTTTTTTTTTGCTCTTACAAGTAGTTGGGCCATTTATTGGCATTAGGAAAACATTCCTTTAACCAAAGGAGGGGATCCTGAACACTAAAGCCTCCCCCCTTTTATGAAAACTTGTGACCAAACTCTCCATCATCAGTACACAGCTTAATCACCGATAAGAGCAAGCATTCAAGTTAATGAAATTTTGTAACAATTTTGAACTAGTACCTAGGATTAAAATGTGTCAGGTAAAGAGGTTACATAGTGGAAAGAACTTGAAATCAGAAAGACTTGAATTCAGCAATCTGGTAGGTCAGTCGGTGTTTTTCTAATTGTGGATCAGGATACCTTGGTGGGATACAATTAGTGGGACCTGCCTATTATATTTTTTAAATAATAAAATATAATTTTTCAAAGTACTAGACCAGGAAGAATAAAACATCTCATATTATTTCAATGTTTTTGTTTTCAATGCTTTTTGTTTCAGAGACAGACAGACTTGTGTATGTGCATGTGTTTGTGTGTGTGATATGAAAATGGTTCACAATCTAAAATGTAGATTGTTGTCAAGAAAAAGTTATAAAACACTAAGCTTTGAATATTTGAATGTTTCCTAGTAATTCTGAGCTCTGAATTTCCCATCTATAAAATGGAGTTAATGATAGCTACTTTGAGGGTCTATTCTGAGGATTAATAGCAGTAATATATGTACCTTGTATAGCATCTGATTTACATAGCGGACATACAAAAGATGTTGCCTTTTACTAAACCTAATCCATTTAAAATTTAATTGATTAGGATCTATTCAGGTATACACAGGATTGAGTTAAGACTTTAAATCCATGAAACTAATTTTTAAAGTACTTTCTGATATGAAATACAATGACCTTAAAATATTAATCAGTAAGGGCATTGCTTAATTAATTTACTGTTTATTGATTTTTCTTTGAAATCATTGTTCTTCAATTCAATAAAATTGTTTTTAATTTCCCAAGCTTTTCACTCAAGTAATATTTTTACAAGCTGGAATATGTCCAAAGAAATATGACAGAAATTTTTAGGTGATTCCAAACTTATCCTATGAGGAACAGTTAAAGAATTTGGTTAAAGCCTATAAAAGAGAATATTTAAGATGACATCGATTTCATATATTAAAAGGATTGACTCATGCCAGAGAAATTAAACGTGTTCTTGGCGGAAGGAAGAGTGAAGACATTTATTGGAAGTTATAGAATAATAGAGTTCAGCTCAAAATAAGAAACAAAGAGTTATACCTGAGACTGGTCTTAAAACATTATAGCTACCTTAGAACAGATGTTCTTCTGAGAAGGGAGAGTGTGTATGGTCAGATTTGATATTGTGCAAATTGTCTTTTAGTTTAAAGATTCGGTGATTTTTAGACTGGCTTTTATGGGTTAGATATCTTGTTAAGCCACATACTAAACTTTTATGTGACATATGCAAATCAGATGTGTTTTGCATAAATGGGCCTTAAAATTGAGTCCAGTAGAAGATGCTGAGGAGTTTGCATATTTTTATCTGTGAAAGAATCCATGCATTTATCAGTCAGTTCTCTAATCCCAGGCCTTTAATTGCTTTTCTCTGGCTTTAGTCTGAATTTCTTCTTTCATTTTGTTAACTACATTTGTCCTGAGTACTTAATTAGAAACAAAAGTGGAAAAGAAGTCTGTCCATTGGTCATTTATAGCAGTTCTACTGGGTGTAAGCCTTGGTGCAAGTGTAGACAAGGTTGAGGAGTGTAAGCATAGTAACACCTGTAAGGAAGAAGAGAATTAGGAGGTGAACTGATGATGGCTGGAGGGGAAGAGGTGACTCTCTTTAGAAAGAAGATGATTAGTCTCACCAAGAAGCAGACCAAGAAAGGGATATGGTGATTATAGGGGAGGATTTTTTCTTTTTTCTGTGGGATATCCTAGATCACAATGTAGTCTTAGTAGCTGAAAATAGCTCTCCCCTCCGAAACAATTTATAGATGAGAAATCTAAGTTGTATAATATGTGAACTGATTTGCCTAAGTAATTTAGAGCTAGAATCAGAACATACATTTCTTGACTTTGAATCTACTGTTCTTTCTAATACCAGTCTTGACAGATTATTGCCCTGAAACATGTTCTCTGACTCTGATTTCCTCAGGCAGCTGGACCTTTTGTCTCAGGTGTTTTACATAGGTTGTAATTAAGTCTAGGATCTTCTATTTCACACTATCAGTAGTAATGGAGAGTAGCTTTGTTGGAGTGGGTCTCTAAGGCATAAATGAGGCCTTAGAGATCTTCTCTTGGAGAAGTTTCCAATGTTATTTTAACAGTGAAACCCTCTGTTCAAACAATATTTATGTAGCAGCTTAATATATAAAGCAGATTTTTTTCTTTTTTTTCAAAAAAAGGAGATGATCTAGTTGAAATGAGTATTGGGGGACCTGGACCACTGCCTGCCCCTTCTTCCCACTCCCACCACAATACAACCACGAGGCTTCCAAGAAGCACCATAATTTAAAGAAAAAAATCTACTTGATTGCCTTCGTTTTACAACCAGGATTTCTTTGAATGCAAGAGAAAGAGGAAATTATTTTAGGACATACTAGGAGAAAAATCCATTTTCTCAAATACGGCAAAAATAGTTTTTAGGGGCAGATTGCAGTGAGCATGACTCCAGAGGAGTGCAGGGGAAGGAAAGATGTAAAATATGAGCAAATTGGCCCTTAAGATGTCGAAAACAGGCATTTATAAGTACTGCGTTAATCAATTCAAGAGTATAATTGACCCACCATTTTTAGTACTTTTCCCAAAGAAAACAAAATCTGTGAAAATAGACACATTTCTCTGAATATAAATAATTGTTAGTGCTGACTTGAAATTGTTTTGTGTAGATGTCTTGTAGGGTCTGCAGCAACGGCTTTTTCTGGGGAATTCTGCAAAATAGCAACTGGTTTGGGCCAGCCACCCTATAATCTGATAGGACAGTGTTTCTAAAGGAAGAGGCTGCTTTTCCTTTCATGGATTATCTGGAAATCAGTTGGAGCCTCCAGAGCCTTCCCAAGATGAGGTTCAATGATCTTTGGGTAAGGGGAATGGAAGAGGGGCCAAGATCAAGCAATCTCGATTGACATAGTGACAGATCTGAGAACTTAGACCCAAGGCCAGGTTACTTGTTACTGATGTTTTTAATGATTACATTGCCAGTGAGCTCATGTCTTATAATTTCCTGGGACCTGAGACTCCCTCAAAGTGGTGGTATGTTTATAACCTGTCTCAATGCTTTTTTCTTCCTGAATCCATGACTGAATGTTTAACAGTATCTGCTGCTTCTTTATTTGAAGACTCTTCTTGCCTAGCACCACTTAGCAGCTTAGCACATAGGGGTAACTCTCCCTCAGGAAGAAAGTGAGTCTGTGTGCCAGTGGTGCCGATCACCAACACGTTTTTCTTCAAGTCAATGGAACATTGATGTCTCCTGAGCATGTCTAGCCCTAGAAGCATGTCCATGGGCTGATCCTCGAGGATAGAGAAAGAGCATTGTAAGAAATCACCTTCGATTTGAATCTGAGCTAGATGAACTCGGCCAATAATCCTCTGCGTGCCTACTCCTTTAGCAATCCCAGCCCACCGTCGATCCACCAGGCGTATTATATTACATCTCTCGGCGCAAGCTTGGCTCATAATGGTCATCTGGGCCCCCGAGTCAACAAAAGCCTTCAAAGGATGTCCATTCACTTTGCAGTTAATATAGAGCATGGCCACTTGCCCGAAACTCTCTGGAGCCTCTTCCATCGCTATATTCATGTTTTCCTCAATGTTCTGCTGCCGGATTTCCTCTTCTATTTTGGCCTGAGCTTCCAAATCAAATGGGTCAGCAGAACAGAGGCGAAGCCTCTCTTGCTCTCTCAGGGCCCTTTCCCTTTGCTGCTCCATCAGGACCTGAGAAAACGTCTCCAGGTTTCCGCTGAGCAGGGCGTCCGCTAAGGGGGGGTTGCGTTCCTTCAGCAGGGACAGATCGTGGGGATTGGAGAGCAGCATGCTTCGGATCAGGGCGGGGCTGTCCAGACCTTGAGCAGACATCTTCTCTCCGGAGTCCAGGCCACGGGACTTCTGGGCCGACTGTGCACGCTGGTGCTGCTGCCGGGAGCTGGACGTCCCAGGCTCAGCTATCCCGGTGAAATCAATCCGAGGCAGGCTTGATGTCCGTCCACAAGGCCGAGGTCCCACATACTCCTTCTGAAGCAAAACAACAACATCGCCATCTTTGAGGCCATAGGAGCCCAGGGAACAGTGGTCGTCAGCGAGGAGTCGCTCCATGTAGATGATCTGGATCTCTTCAGCGGGGACACCAGACTCGAGCTCACAGAGGACGCGGAAGCTGTGGAGCTCCAAGTCAGGGCTGACCTGGAGGGAGAAGGTTACCTCGGAGAGGTCCCTCCGCACGCAGTACACAGTGACCAGCATGGCATGGGCTTAGGAGGGCCAGGTGGGCAGAGGGCATGGATTCTTCACTGGCTGACTGGAGCTGGTCTTTATTGATGGCTCAGTTGCTCCTCAACACTTGGTGCCTTGTTGTGGTTCATTCACCTCTCCAAGAAGCACAGCCACTCACCAGTCTGGGGGCGGCTTGCCAGCCTCAGTGCCTGCTGCCTGGCCCTGTGGAACCTTGAGGTAACATGTTGTGTTCCAAAGTTAATTTGTATGTGTGCTGTTTGGAACTTAGAATGCCCAGTCCCATAGAAACGAAGTTACTCGAGTCCTTTAGGTTCCAAGGCTAGCCCTTCAAAACCTATTTAACCTGTCATATGAAAAGGATGATTTCAACTCTTCCTAAACAACATATTAACATTCATTTTGTTCATTTGAGAATGGTATCCTACATACTTTTACTTATTCTCCAAACAGGGAGTGTTGTTTCCTAGATGGCAATTATCATGCTATGTGCTTGGTATGAAAGATGGGGCAGACCGGGTGCCTACCCTTGAGGAGCTCACATTCTAGGGAGGGACCGATGGTAAATGGGTAAATCACAATACTGGAGGTAAGTGCTTTTACAAAGACACGTTAAGCGAAACAACAGAACAGAGGACGTTTCTCTGAAGAGGAGACACAGTGGATGTTGACGAATGAGCATTTTCTGTGAAAAATGATGAGTCACCCCAGACAAAAAGAACTGCATGTACAAAAGCAAGAATTCATGACACGGGCTGTTATTTCCAGAGAAAAGTGAGACATTCAATGGAACAGGAGAAATTTGTACATGAATTTGAATGGCAAGATATGAAGCTGGAAAAATTGATTGGAGCCAGTTTATAGAAAGAGTAATATGAATCCAAGCAATTTAAATATTATCAATAAGCAAAAATCCCTTCTCAAAAAAAAAAAAAAAGGAGGGAAGAAAAAGAGAAAGGAAAGGAAATGGCAAAGATTTAAAGCAGGTACTTGTAATGTTTATTTTTTTCATTTAATTGATTTAAGGAAGATGTTTCTTGAGACATATGGAGGACATATAGTGGCAGGAGAGACAGGTAGAGACTTTCTCAATGGCTCAAAGAGGGAGCTGTTGCTAGAATTTGAAAATATAAGGAAGACTAAAGCCAAACTAGTAGAGAAGAAAAATGTTTCTTGAGTAGAATGGAAAGGATGTGTTTACCCATTGGATGTGGGGAGTATAAAAGAAGCAGAATGTGTGGATAACACAGCGAGTCTCTGAAATGAGAGATTGGTTAAAAATAAGCCATTACCTTACATGGATGTGTGAGATGAACCTTTGAGGAGACCAATTTGACATTAGTTCTGTAGTAAAATGCATGATGAATGCCACCCTGGAGACCAGATATGCCTCGCTCTCTAGCCCTAGGGCACAGCCCCTCACACACACACACACACAGACACAAACACACACACACACACACGCTTCAGAGTGGAGACTTGCCAAGTAAGTGTAAAGAGGTCCTTCAGGGCAGATGGTGACTGGGTAGAAATCCTTGAGTGCCAGTTCTTTATATTTCACCAAGTGTTACGCACTGTAAAGAGCTCACGGTTCCCTGGCTTGGTCTTCCCAGGCATATTTTCATATGAACCAAGATAGTCAACCTCCTCTGCCTCATCCCCTCTGTTTATTTCAAGTTTTGTCAGAAGACCTGTACCATTACGTAGAGAAGGGTGTTGCATTAGCCTAAAGAATTTTTTTTTTTTTTGGCTCCTGGTTCTCATGTGTTTGTCTCAGATGGAAGATCATATCTCACTCATTGCTGTAATTATCACAATGTTTCCATACCGTGTTCATTTATATTGAAAATGTTGACTGAATGCCCAGTGTGTGTGAGACATGTACTATGTTCTGGGGATACACACAGGAATAATGTTAAGTACAGGCTGTGTTCTTAAAGGAGCTCACAGTCTAAAAGGACACACACACACCTGCGTGCACACACACACACACACACGAATTGGGGGTTAAAAAAATACCACAGAAGCCAACACAGTTTGGGAGAAATGTCTGAAGAACAAAAGAAGATGGAGAGGGCTGGAGGGCAGGGAGGGCTTCCTGAAAGAGTTGGGCTTAAAAAGATGACAAGAAGTCAGCCGTGTGGGGGTGAGTGGGTGAAGAAACAAAGGCTGAGAAGAGGATAGCCTAGTTGAGAGTCTTTAACTGGAAAGGCAGCATGTCATGATATGGAGGACCTTATAAAATTTTAGGGGAAAAAATGTAGCATTGTAGTTTTAGTGTAAAGAATTATGAATTATTTAGAGCTGTTTTTTACTATTTATAGAGATGGATGGCACTTTGACCCCAAAATATTAAGTTAATAAATTTCTTTTGTGGTTCTTAGCGTCCTGGTGAGTTCATCAGAGATCAATAATGGTTTTTCCTGAGTTTGGGAAAAACTATAATGTGAGACATGTCACATGCAAACTACTCTGCTAAAGAATAGATGAGAAGCCAGGGAGGCTTACATTCCATCTTCCTTCCCCCACTCCCCCAAGTAGCTCTGGACAGTTCGTTCTTACAATCTTAATAAATTAGGGAGATATACTAGGGTTTTTTGTTTTTTTTAAACAGTGGATGAAATTATTTTTGTAGAATAAGCTTTTTTTTTTTTTTTGGCAAAGCAAGAATTCAGGGCTCACATCAAAAGAAACTAACCTCTTTTTTTTTGTATTACCGTTGCCTTGATACTGAACATAATTAAGCTTTATGTGGTATGTTTTATTATCTTGCTATAAATCTTTACTTTTGGTGGCATTTTGCATTTATGTGCTTTTAACTATTTTATACTTTACTGAGAACATAGAAAGCAAAAAGCCTCCAAGTTTGGCCAATTAACTGTCATGGTGCTATAGATCACAGGATGTGAGGATTGGCAGGGGTCCTTCGGATTCTCTGGTCCAGCCATCCATCCAGGCCTTAAACCTCTGTTGTGAAACAGCTTGGAATCTGAAAAGATAAACACAGCCTCCTGGGACTGTTTAGTACAAATGTTCATATATTGTTTGAGTCTTTCATTTTACCTAAGACTATTGGTGATTCAAGTACCATATGTATAATTCTCTGACCTCAATATTTTAATTAAAAACCTCTTCTGATTATGTAATAAACTTGGGGCTCATTGGGAGCATATATAAATACTCTTAAATATAAAATGTTGTTAGGCCATTAATCCTTACTGCACAGACCACTGAGAAATGGGTGAGCTGAATTATCTAGGTGTGCTAATCTAGGTAACGGAAGGTGATTGCAACTTTTCTTGAGTTTTTTGTGAAGTATATTCCCTTACTTTTCTTCCTTGGTAAGTACAAAATAGGAACGTAATTGAATCTTTCTTTGATAAGTGAGACTCTTACAAGGTCTCAGGGCTATCACTCAGAAAATCAATTCTATTGTATAGCCTAAATACCCAGAAAATAGAAAAGATGACATTGATTTCATACTGGCCAAGTAAATAACCCCAAAGTTATTTTTAGAATAAACCCACAATAATAGTTTTTATAATTTGCCTCTTTATAAAAACTCGGGCAAAAAATAATCCATATAATTGATGATCCCACTTAGTATAGTCAGTTGATGTTTAAAATACTGTCTCTTGCTTTACAGAGCAAAATAAATGGCTTTTCTGTGAAAAAAGAGTAGCTACATAGATGTCATTATGTAGCATATACAATAATTAAACCACATTAAGCAAATATATTAGCTTGCTGTGTTTGGATTCCTTCCTAATGTGCCTGGTATTACGTTTAAAATAAAGTGTAATCGAGACTTATTAAGATACTTAAATCATCATTTGATATTTTTCAATGCAACTTAGGGAAGATGCAGACTCTTTAAAGCTGTATTCATAGATTAAACAACTAATTTTCTCACTGTTCTTCCATTTGCTTTATAAAAATATGATAAATTGTGCCAGAACTGTCATGAATGAATAAACATTTATTTCTTGAGATAGTTAATTATTTAATAGACACATTAAAAATGCTCTAATGAAAGTTCAAGCTTTTTTAGTATGTTTAGAGGTTTCCCATATGAAAAGGTTTAGTATTGCCCGTCTTTGAAGCGTAAAGGCCATGATAAGACCTCTTATACAAGTATATAAACAGATGTGTAATTGAAGAAACTTATGAGACTTGAGAATTTAGTCTGTATCTACCTGCTGGCAACTCAGCTAGCCGTTTTTCTTCGTCTTAAGGAGACAGAATATGGACAGAAGACCCATATGCACACACACACATGCACTCAACATGTGGAGAGAGAGAACGAGCAAGTGCACACTCAGGACATGTTTTCAATTACTTTGAAAGTGCAATGTAAAGATTATGTCATTTTCCAGCAGGGAATATTTTTATGGTGCATTTTGTTTATTGCTTTAATTTATAGATTATCGTTTTAACATTTTATCATCAAAAGAGATGCATTTTACGTTATATGTGGTGTGTTGGAAATAACATAATCTCTTGATATCTTTTGGTGTTTTCAAAATATGTACTTTCCAAGTCTGTACATACGTGGGTTATACCTTCACGTGTATAATCTCTTGATAACTTTTGGCTTTTTCAAAATATGTGAGTCTAATATTCCAAGTCTAAATATACATGTGTGTGTATTTGCTTATTTTTAAGAATGTTTGCTGCTACAGTTTTGTGCCTTATGGGCCCTTCCAATGTCTGAATCATATAAAAATTGATGTGTGAAACACACACCTTGCTGTTGAAGCTTTGGAGATTACTTATAATTTGTGAGAGAAACATTTATAGATTAAATGAATTTAGTGTAATAAATTAAAAACAAGATAAAAACGATTTATGACTTTGTGTGTTGTCAGTTACTTGGTTCTTAATTTTCAGTGTCCCTTAGAAAACTAATGTTTTTGTTTTCCCATTCCTGTTATGTGGAGAATAGCCATGTAACACAAAATAGTAATAGTAATGATAATAGGGCCTTATATTTTAAGTTCCACTGTGATTGAGGATCATTATTCAAACCATTTTTTATTGTTTACTCTTTTATAGTAACGTAATCAACTCATTTCAAAATCACTGCCACTAGTTTAGAAATATCAATGTGAGCTAAGCATAAGTTCAGTTACACTTTAATAACTTCAACGTAAATTTTCTTTGTCAGAATACTAATGCTAGTTCTATATGAATTCATCATTAC